TGCAGTGAGCCGAGATTGTGCCACTGCACTCCAGCCTGGGCAACAGACCAAGACCCTGCCAAGGAAAAAAAAAGGCAAAGTATGGTTATGTAAGGATAAAATATATATTATTATTATTTTTTTCAGACAGCTACACAGTTGTTGAGACACTGGTACTTATTCTGCTGCTTGTGCTTAACTACCTAATAACATTGTTGGCTATTTCCTTTGGCCTGAGAGCATCACAGAAAAAAACTGAGACGTTTAAGGATGTTGTGAACCAAGAAAATTTGGGAACCTCTGGGTTAATGAGAACAAAAACGTAAATTTTCCCTCTAAATTCACAGACCTCTGATTCAGCATGCCTTTTTTTTTTTTTTTTTTTAAAGACAGAGTTTTGCTCTTGTTGCCCAGGCTAGAGTGCAGTGGCGTGATCTCAACTCACTGTAACCTCTGCCTCCTGGGTTCTAGCAATTCTCAGGCCTCAGCCTCCTGAGTAGCTGGTATTACAGGCATGAGCCTCCACGCCTGGCTAATTTTGTATTTTTAGTAGAGATGGGGTTTCTTTATGTTGGTCGGGCTGGTCTCAAACTCCCGACCTCAGGTGATCCGCCTGCCTGGGCCTCCCCAAAGTGCTGGGATTACAGGCGTGAGCCACCGCATCCGGCTAAGTATGCCTATTTTCAAAGATGTTCTCTGCAATCATAATATTTAAGTGAATTTTGGGGAAATTTTAGGGATAGACAGTACTTAACTGTAATGAACACAACTGTAATGTTTTATAACTCTGAGCAGGAAACAAATTGTTTCCTTGGACTAACCTTATTTACAATCTAGTCAATAGTTCAGACAAATCAAAATAGTTCAGACAAATCAAAAAAAATCAAAAAAGAAGTAGAAAAATGAAAAAAGATGTAGAAAACAAAAAATCCAAAACCAGTTCAGAAAGTTTGAACACTTTCTGCAATGATGTAGTTCCTACTTGCAAAGTGGATGGCAGCAAGCCCTCTTCACTGGCATCCTCCATCAAGCCATAGTTCTCTTCATCGCCTGCCCCAATTAGCTCCTATCCTTTGAAGGGGCTTTCAGGGTCTCCAGACGGACTTTGTTTTGAGCCCACTCATCATAAAGCGCCTGGCCCCAAGCAACCTGTTCCCAGACCACGAAAGGAGATTAGAAAGCAAAGCAAGATAGAGATAGATACAGACATGTAGGGCAGGCTTAGCTCTGGGACTCTAAAGGCAAGCCAGAGAGGAAAAGAGAAAGACCATAAACAACTGCCCAGAATCTGCTGATTGCTGGAGATTCAGTTCCAGTTCTGTCCATCACAAGTCACTGAGAAAACCAATGGGTTGGGACCAACTATACTTTGTATTTATAGTTCTACCTGAAGTCCTGGCCTCCCAGCAGGCCCCCTGAAACCCAATAATCCTGCCTTCATTCTGTCTGGTCTGTTCAGACTCACCCCTCTCCTAAAGTGATGGAGCACACAGGCAGAAAGACGCCAGGGAAGGCAGTAGCAGTCGCCAAGACGATGGCTGGTTAACAGAAGGCTTTCTGATTCTCCCGTAAAACCACACTTAGCAGAGCTTTATGCAAACCATCATCACACCGACCTGCACTAGGGGCCTGGAAGAGCTCCACAGGAGGTACCTGCCACTTCCTGAGCTGATACTCTTATCCAGCACTTCATCTGTATTGGCTTAGTTATTCACACAGCAACCCTAAAAAGCAGGCTGCGACTTTATCACCTTCATCATCATCCCCATGGTGACAGAGGCAGAGTGTATGATGGCCTGGTTGGCTGGACGTCACTTGGAGCAGCACGTGCTTCAAAGTCCTCTGCTCCGCAGCTGCCTCCACTCACCAAGCACACTGGCAACACCCACAAGGGGCAGAGGCCCAGTTACCCCACACGGGTCTTTGGCTTGGACAGCAGCACCACACTTTGCTGTACCCATCCGTGGCCTGCCTTCTCTGCAGAAGCAGCTGAGTGCCATGTGGCCCATAAGCTGGGTCTTAAGTCAGACTTCTAGCAGTAGTATTTCCAAAGAACTTCATCCTCCTAAACAAATCAGAGCCAAGACCTCTCCCTGCAGCACGTGGCCATCTGCTTACAATGAGACATACCCCGTGGCATAGGTGAAATCTAAAACATACCACCCTACTGAAGCCATGAGGTGTGGGGGCAAAGGGAAGGGACACCAAGTTGTTATTTATGCTTCCCAAGCAGTAAGATGCCTGAAAGGACATGGCTTAAATTTGTTTTATTCCATACAGAGTGCTAGCCTACGCCAACTGACTACAGCCCCTCATGAAATCACAAGTTCACAGTCACACATACCCTTTAGGTAGAGGAGGTCACCTCTCCACCGCTCCAAGGCTCTTGTATAAACAATTATTTTCGGGGAATGCTAGATTCTGCCCGGGGACAAAAACAAGGGGACGAGGGACCCTGACTAGTAAAAACCTGGTAATTTCTCAATATGATTCAATTTACAGCAATTTACATCTTATCTTGTCCTAGAAACATCTTTGCTAAAATGCTGGTTACACA